ACGCTGACTCCCAGGAAGCTGCAGGAGCCCAGGGCGCCGCCTTCAGCCACCACGAGGCCCCCACGCCCACCGCTGAGGAAGGTGAGTGTACTTGCATTGCTTTTGTTACCTTGCTCGCCCGGTTGGCCAGCATTCCTTCCCCGCCCCTTGGAAGCCGGTCGGCCGAGCGGACAGCACGCTGGACTTGTGATCCTGTGGTTCTGGGTTCGATCCCAGGCGCCGGCGAGAAACAATGGGCAGTGTTTCTTTCACCCCTATGCCCATGTTACCTAGCAGTAAAATAGGTACCTGGGTGTTAGTCAGCTGTCACGGGCTGCTTCCTGGGGGTGGAGGCCTGGTCGAGGACCGGGCCGCGGGGACACTAAAGGCCCGAAAGCATCTCAAGATAACCTCCCCCGTCCCATCCCAAATCCTTATCCTGACCCCCCCTTCCCAGTGCTATATAGTTGTAATGGCTTGGCGCTTTTTCCCTGAGAGTTCCTTACCTTGCTTACCCCGGGTGAGTAAGGTAACATGGTAAATTATATAAACATTATAAATATATATATATATATATATATATATATATATATATATATATATATATATATATATATATATATATATATATATATATATATATATATATATATATATATATAGGGGGGTACCACCACTGGTGCAATTATAGGGACCCACAGCCTCAGAGAAGGGAACACAGAGCATTCAGGGAAAAACTTGCCATTTAACTCTGAATACGTAAGAGTGTTCGCTTCTCCTACCACCCCTCTCTTAAACATTATAATGTCTGTTAGGAGAACAATGTCCAACATATTGTCGTTGGTCACTTACTGGTACTCCTGGTGATCTTCCTGCCTATTGTTGGTTCCGCGGAGCCAAGCGGCCAAGTTTTTGACCAGGCCTCCTGGTTAGTAGTCAGGTCAACCAGGTTGTTGGACGCAGCTGCTCGCAGCCTGACGTATGCATCACAGCCTGGTTGATCAGGTGTTTATAAAGTTCCGTCTTGAATATCGTGAGAGATGGGCTAGTTATAGCCCTAATGTTTAGAGGGAGTGTGTTAAACAGTCTTGGGCCTTTATGCGCATAGAATTGGCTGTCAGATTTACCTGATCAACCAGGCTATGACTCATACGTCAGGCTGCGAACAGCCGCGTCCAACAGCCTGGTTGATCAGTCCAGCAACCAGGAGGCCTGGTCGACGACCGGGCCGCGGGGACGCTAAGCCCCGGAAGCACCTCAAGGTAACCTCAAGGTAAGGTCAGTTTACCTATTACACCTTTGCATACAACGGGGGTATTTTGTACGTCATGTTTAGTATACTCGCCTAGTTATGCTTGCGGGGGGTTGAGCTCTGGCTCTTTGGTCCCGCCTCTCAACTGTCAGTCAACTGATGTACAGATTCCTGAGCCTACTGGGCGCTCTGTGTGGTTTTATTTCCGTGTGTAGATTTTCCAGGTGTACTTCTTGCTATCCGTGTTGGGTCGCCGCAAACTCTAGCATACACAAATTACTTTGTCGTTTATGCAAATTAAAACTTATAATTTTCCACTATCTTGGGATTGTCTGTAATGGTTTAGCGATATACAACTACCGCGGCAGACTTTGTATACATTTTTGGTGTTTGGCCAAATATTTGACACGTTGGTATGGTCAAATTTGATAAGAAGATGATACCGTTATTGACAAATCCACCATTAATAAAATAACATTCAATGTTTCCACCATCCATCGGCAGCAGTGGAAGCCGCTCTCCCACCGGGGGCTTTCACCCCCCTCCCCCCCTTTTTTTTTTTTTTTTTTTTTTTTTTTTTTTTTAATATACAAGAGTTGTTACATTCTTGTAGAGCCACTAGTACGCGTAGCGTTTCGGGCAGGTCCCTGGAATACGATCCCCGCCGCGAAGAATCTTTGTTACAACCAAGTACACATTTTACTATTGCGTTAAACAGAGGCTACAGTTAAGGATTTGAGCCCAGTAAATCCTCCCCGGCCAGGATACGAACCCATGACAAACCTTTCACTCTCTCCCCCTCCCCCCTAATGGCCGGGATGACAGCTGTGGCTCCCACCTTTTGACAAAAAGATAGGAGACAGTCGTCTAAGGATGTGCCCTGTGCTTCCCTTAAAGTTACCATCAATAACTCTCCCTGTTGGGTACTCGAGCATATGTAGAAATTTAACTCAAGGTTAATAATATTAAGGTCACTTAATATCAGTGACCTTAGTATTATGGCAACTAGAATTATTTATCAAATCCTGAGCCCTTCGACACTAGAAGTAATTGATAATTGGCAACAAAGAATCTATTGAACTTGTAATTTCGTGAGGGTGTGCGGCGGCGGGCCGTGAGCGAAACACGTGGTTGGTTATAAATAGTGAGGGTGTACTAGCGTGGGGCTGGCCATCAGATACTCCTGTGGCCAGAGGCCACGGTCACCAGCTGTCCGACCCTTGGGGCGCGGCTCTAATTACTCCCTACACTACTCGTGGAGTAAGGGTGAGGAGGGACGGCCAGGTATGGCGCAAGGGTGGAGAGTGGCAGAGGGTGGCGAGTGGGTGTGGGGCGAGGGTGGCGAGTGGGTGTGGGGCGTGGCGCAAGGGGTGGCGAGTAGGTGTGTGTGGGGCGGTGGCAAGCAGGTGTGTGGGGCGAGGGGCGAGCGGCGAGCGGGTGTGGAGTGTGGGGCGAGTGGGGCGTGGCGTAAGGGCGAGCGTGAACTTCACCGTGTGTAGCCAAGAGGAAACTAGGATGGCCACGTCATACAAGACTGGCGGAGGCTGCCGGCCAAGAATGCAGCCGGAAATGCAGTCATCAAACCATTAAGCGGAACCGGCCGTCGTTCCCCTTAGACGGGGATTACTAAGGTTGTGGGTAGGAAAGGGTGGCGTGTTAGAGGTACTTAACCCCCTTAAGTCTAGGGTGAGGAATTAAGAGGATTTAAGACCAGCACCGTCTTTACCTCTCCTGATACATTCCCCAACACCCGTCTCTCGTAGGTTTCCCCCCACCATGTGCTCTACCCCACAGATACCTCCCCGCCATCCCCCACGACCCGCCCTTTCCTCCCCGCCATCCCCCCACGACCCGCCCTTCCCTTTCCCCAAAGAAGGGGGGGGGGCGCCCCCACCCCCGACACTGAAGGATGTGAACAAGATGGCGGTACACGCTAGGATACCCGGACACAACTGGGTTTAGGGAGTTCCTATAGGACAAGAGGGTGGGGGGGGGGTCGGCCAGGTGTTAGTTGGAGGGTGTGATAAATGCTCTTCCAAAAGCTGTTCTAGTGCCACTGCTATTCCTAATTTATGAACAAAGTTAAGCAAGTCCCAGCTGTGTAAAAGTGACAGGATGAACAACCCAGCGGGGGTTTCTTCCTATTAGGGGTATTGTACATGCTGCTATGGCGGTTATCTTGAGAAGTTATCTTGAGATGATTTCGGGGCTTTAGTGTCCCCGCGGCCCGGTCCTCGACCAGGCCTCCACCCCCAGGAAGCAGCCCGTGACAGCTGACTAACTCCCAGGTACCTATTTACTGCTAGGTAACAGGGGGCATTCAGGGTGAAAGAAACTTTGCCCATTTGTTTCTGCCTCGTGCGGGAATCGAACCCGCGCCACAGAATTACGAGTCCTGCGCGCTATCCACCAGGCTACGAGGCCCCCTAAGGCCCGAGGGGGTGTTCACTCACAGGATGAGTGGCGCTGCCCAAAAAACTCGCCCTTCAGGGCAAAATTTATGAAAAAAAAACAAAACAGCAAGAATCGGATTCCAAGATTCTAAGACCTTCAGTAAGATTATAAGTGGAGAAGGTGGACAAAATCAGCTTAAATCTTAATTGAGTGTACAGTCATAGGTGGAAGTTGGAATCGCAGTCAAGTTGAAATGAGGAAAAACCACTTCCTCTGTGCGTGTGAAATGCACTGAAAGATGTTGGATGGAGGTGGCTTCCACAACTTGATCAGATTATCCCACCCAAAGAAGCATTATATTAAAACACGGCAGTAATACAATGTCAACAAGGCTGGCAGGCGGATAATACAGCTACACCCCCTCCCACCCCCTATAATCCCTGGAAATTATACACCACACTTAATGCTGAGAAGCTGGACCAGAGTCGTAGCTCACCCTTCCTTTCCCCGACAGAGAGTAAAATATTCCCTTATCCACCCACCAACATGGCTTCCCCCTATCCACCGACACTGCCCCCCCCCCCCGTCCCTCTCCCCTTCCATTTCTCCACCCCACCGAAAGGGTCCTCCTTTGCCCACCCATTCCACCCACGGACCTTACCCGTAAACTCTACCCCCCTCCCTCCCACACTTTCCCACACTTCCCCCCCCTACATGCTCCCCCCTGAATGTTTCCCACACATTATCATGGTTCATCATCACTACCCGTCCTCATCAGCCTCGTCCTTGTTCTTAGTGACGTGCCCCTCGCCTCCTTAGTAACACCAGTCACCCTCCCCCCCCATAATTCCCCTCTCACCCTACACTCCCTCCCACTTCCCGCCTTTACCCCCACCCCCCTCACTACCCGCCACTACGACTCTCCTCACATTAAGTTAGGCGTTTAGGCTGTGTTGGTACAACCTTTCAATAACTCTAGTTAAATGTCAAATTCAGTGTTGTCTGTTATACATAATCCCCCCCCGCCCCCCGTATGCGATCACCTGGCCGCCTCTGGCCCAGTAACCGCCGCCGCCACCTGGATTTTTTTTAATGGGGTTACAAAGCTTGATAAGGGGTATAAGAGATGTTGTAGACATGTTGAATACAATAAGTTGTCCATTTTCGTCGTTCGTCTTCGCCTTAGCTGTAAAGTCGTTGGAAAAGTTTTGCCCCCCTGGTCTACTGAGCGGCTTTGTGGCTGGTCTGCCTCCCCCCGTCATCTCCCGCCTCAGTCTGTGTTTCCCTCCCCCCCCCCTCCAGACACCCGCCATCAACCTCGTGGTGTTCAAACCCTCCCCCTTCTTCCCCCAGCCACACCGCCGCCTCTCCTCCATGTGTTGTTGACGCGTCGGTGCGAGTGGTCAGAGTTACTCTGCTCCTGCTCTCCTCCTGGCTACTGCCTCTCATACACGTCCCTCGTCCCTCCTGGCCTGGCTCCTGCGTCTCCTTCAGCCCTCCAGTTGATATAATTCGTGTCCACTGCCGCCAAATGTGTTGAAAATTTGTCATTTTGGCAATACTGTGCGACCTGATGAGAGCGGCTCCTGGTGTGACGAGCAGAGAGCATGTTTCAGAGTTTATAATATAATCGAAATTAAAAGTGTCAGGTTAACAATGTGAAATTTAGTGAAATAAATTAGCATATTTGATTAAACCGATGCTTTAGAATATTATGAGGAATACAAGGCGGTGTGTATTTGAAGGAGAGGCTGTATAAGTACAATAGCGATCTGCCAGGTAATGCCGTTAGTGGCCAGGTGACCCCCTCACCGGCTGAAGTCCCTCTCCCACAGCAGCAGCAGCATCAGCAGCCTAGACCGTCTCCCCGGCGTGGCTGAGGAAGTGCCTCCAGGGGCGGGTCTGCCCCCCACTGTTGTCAGGCACGGTAAACTTTACCAGAGTCTGGCCCTGGTTCCTGACGTGTTTGTATACAGTTTCGCCATTGAGAGTTACCAACGTTGCTTTTATCGTGTTTAACGTGATGCTGGAACTAAAATTTGGTTGAGTGAAAGTTTTGTCCTAGAATGTGAACTACTGCGAAAGTGCTTAACAATATTTCAACAACTCTTGATACCTAGACTGTTTACGGTTTATAAGCTTGAGAAACCATCATGGCCAAGCGAGGTCGTCGACATCCTCGCAAGCGGACACACTCCGCCGGTAATGGCGGCTCAAAGATCAAAAGTCACGCACCGAGGACTGAGGATAAGATACTTTCTAAGTGTGAGAATGAAACGAGCTTTACATTGAGCAGCCAGGCCGCCGGGGACCGGGAGAGCGGAAGTCGAAGACAGACGGAGCGTGGTTCAGAAGCCTCGACGCCCTTGGCTAAGGGGAAGGGCAATTGTCACAATGGTTCACCGGCTCGTAGGTTCCCATCACTTAAGGTCAGCCTCGCCACTGTCACTAGCGATTCTTCATCCATTGATGATGTCTCCATGTCCAGCTTCGATTTAACTCCTTCTAGTGCTACTCCCTCTTGTAGGACGCCTTATCTGGACACGTGTTCGCCCGAGTGTGGTTCTCGAACAGAAAGATCTCTCTTGAGAACACCTTCCATAAAAACCCAGTCGTTTAGCATCTCTTCATTAGATAACTCATTTGATGTCCCCTCTCTGGACTGTGAGTATGCGGACTCCTCTTCGTGTGCTACTCCCAGCTCCTCCGACGCGGTTCCTCTGGTAGGAAGACCATATCTTCTGGCGTCACCCAGTGTGTGTTCGTCGGACGACAGCAGAGCCAGCTCTAGGACTAAGAGGAGACGTCGGAACAGAAAGAACAAGAAGTTGAAGATGCGAGAAGAGCAGACAACAGGGAATAGTGATCAGTTAAGTGGTAAGAATGACTCGATTACCGGTGTTGACACGCCCAATCAAACGCATTGTGGAGAACCAGGTAATAGCAGTACCACGGTGGCAGACTTGTGTCAGGAGCTAAATACAATGGACCTTGAGAGTACACCTTGTACTGTTAATACAATAATGTTGGCCAAATTGCAAGAGAAACGCAAGTTAAACGATGTTGTACATAAATCACACGTGAATTCGAGGGAAAGAGAAATATCAGGTAAAATTACTAACGATAGCTTCTTGGGAAAGAATGAGGAGGTGGTTTGTCTGGGTAAAGACTCGACTCTGGAGACGATGGGTGAAGCAGACACACTCACCTTGGGTAAGGATACAGCAGTGTGCGAAGGGACGAAGAGTACAGTGAATGTGATTAGCATCGAACTGGAAGGCGAGTTGCGATACGAAGGTGACAGTTTTGAATTAAATAACAGTAAGAATTTAAATTTCATGAAGAAAGACGTCAGCGGACTAACGAAAGCGCTGAAGACCAGGGTGGACATGATAGCAAATCAATTACTCGAAAATACTACTCATCAGATGAACATCCATAAGCACGATGACCGTGTACCTGTGAGGGAGAACGGCAGTATGGCTGAATTGGGCGGTAATAGAGTTGAGATCGCAACACTTGAAGGTAGTAATGACTCACCAGATGGCTTTGACGGTGCACCAGCAGAAGGCGAATATTGTAAGCCACTTGCAGCTCGGCAGGGGGTCCTCAGGCACCTCACGACAGATACACCCGTCGCCAAACATTTTAATGTTAAGGACATTGAGGAAAATGGTGTACGAGAGACTCGTACAGACGAAGGTAGTGTGTGTTATACAGACGTAGTTAAGAGAGAGATTCGTGCAGAGGAATTGAATGAAAATAACGAGGAAAATATAACGCACAAAAGGGAAAGTGATGAAGGTTGCCCTCCGCAGGAAGGTCAGTGTGTGTGTCATGGAGAGGAAGATGGCGGTGGCAGCAATGGAGAGGGTAGCGACGGTGATGGTGGCGGTCATGAAAGCGGCGCCGACGGCCATAGAGAAAGTGGCGGCGGCGACGGCCATAGAGAAAGTGGCGGCGGCGACGGCCATAGAGAAAGTGGCGGCGGCGGCGACGGCCATAGAGAAAGTGGCGGCGGCGACGGCCATAGAGAAAGTGGCGGCGGCGACGGCCATAGAGAAAGTGGCGGCGGCGACGGCCATAGAGAAAGTGGCGGCGGCGACGGCCATAGAGAAAGTGGCGGCGGCGACGGCCATAGAGAAAGTGGCGGCGGCGACGGCCATAGAGAAAGTGGCGGCGGCGACGGCCATAGAGAAAATGGCGACGGCCATAGAGAAAGTGGCGGCGCCGGCCATAGAGAAAGTGGAGGCGGCGACGACAGAAACGACGGCGACGGCCATGGAGAGGAAGGTGGTGAAGAGGACGGGGAGAAGGGAAGTGATACAGCCAGCCCCAACACGGAAGAGGACGAGAGCGAGAATGAGGAAGAGACCCGCGAGGAGGAAGATGTTTCAGGGGACCAAATGAGAACTAATATAGAACCCCGTGATGGCAGTTCTGAAGTCTGCGAGGCCAATATCATACGAGCGGCCACCAGTGTGTGCAGCGCTGTTGACCAAACACCAACGGTAGAACAATCATCCGTCATGGACGATAACTTGGAGATGTTACTAAACAGTTTTAAAGATCTGAAGATGGTTGACAGAACAGAATCACTGCACGAAAGCAACCAGAGCATAGTTAATTTCCAGCTTAACGATCCAAAAGACTCCTTTAACGACATTCAAGAAGATATAGTTAGCGATTGTTTGGCTAAGGAACATGAGGTAAACGTGTGTGACATAGATGTGAATGGTAAAGTCATCAGCCAACCAAGTGACGGGAAGTATGACACAATCTCTGACGCGCACACATTGGACTCGTCTAAAGCATTTCAAGACGTCGGCGTCTTGAAGGTAGAGGATAAGGGGCAAAAGGACTTGTTTAATTTAGAAACGAGAGATGAGGATAGTGACTTTGTCGCCCTTGGAGAAGGGCGCGTTGAAGGTATGGTCAATAAGGACTGCCTGGAGTCTGCCGTTGGCGCACCTGTGGAGTCTGCCGTTGGCGCACCTGTGGAGTCTGCCGTTGGCGCACCTGTGGAGTCTGCCGTTGGCGCACCTGTGGAGTCTGCCGTTGGCGCACCTGTGGAGTCTGCCGTTGGCGCACCTGTGGAGTCTGCCGTTGGCGCACCTGTGGAGTCTGCCGTTGGCGCACCTGTGGAGTCTGCCGTTGGCGCACCTGTGGAGTCTGCCGTTGGCGCACCTGTGGAGTCTGCCGTTGGCGCACCTGTGGAGTCTGCCGTTGGCGCACCTGTGGAGTCTGCCGTTGGCGCACCTGTGGAGTCTGCCGTTGGCGCACCTGTGGAGTCTGCCGTTGGCGCACCTGTGGAGTCTGCCGTTGGCGCACCTGTGGAGTCTGCCGTTGGCGCACCTGTGGAGTCTGCCGTTGGCGCACCTGTGGAGTCTGCCGTTGGCGCACCTGTGGAGTCTGCCGTTGGCGCACCTGTGGAGTCTGCCGCACCTGTGGAGTCTGCCGCACCTGTGGAGTCTGCCGCACCTGTGGAGTCTGCCGCACCTGTGGAGTCTGCCGCACCTGTGGAGTCTGCCGCACCTGTGGAGTCTGCCGCACCTGTGGAGTCTGCCGCACCTGTGGAGTCTGCCGCACCTGTGGAGTCTGCCGCACCTGTGGAGTCTGCCGCACCTGTGGAGTCTGCCGCACCTGTGGAGTCTGCCGCACCTGTGGAGTCTGCCGCACCTGTGGAGTCTGCCGCACCTGTGGAGTCTGCCGCACCTGTGGAGTCTGCCGCACCTGTGGAGTCTGCCGCACCTGTGGAGTCTGCCGCACCTGTGGAGTCTGCCGCACCTGTGGAGTCTGCCGCACCTGTGGAGTCTGCCGCACCTGTGGAGTCTGCCGCACCTGTGGAGTCTGCCGCACCTGTGGAGTCTGCCGCACCTGTGGAGTCTGCCGCACCGGTGGAGTCTGCCGCACCGGTGGAGTCTGCCGCACCGGTGGAGTCTGCCGCACCGGTGGAGTCTGCCGCACCGGTGGAGTCTGCCGCACCGGTGGAGTCTGCCGCACCGGTGGAGTCTGCCGCACCGGTGGAGTCTGCCGCGGTGAAGGGTGGCCTAAGCATGACTGGGAGTGTTACGGCTGCCTCTGCCAGAACAAACGCCAGCGCTGCTGAGGAAAAAGGTGAGTGGTGGAGGGTCGACCATTAGTGAGTGACGCCTTCCCAGTCGTGTTGGGGGACGACGACGAGGGTTAATGGGTATTCTAATTCTGAAGATTTGTTGCAAGACATTTAAATGCACATTACTGACAACTGTCATCTGGATATTGGCGATGGAACATGGTACAGTAACTGATGAGTGGCACAGGACCACAACACATGGTGTGGCTGTGGACCTCGCCTCCTGGGCCCTGCCTCTTAACCTTAAGTTGACTGTTGGTTCACTTCTCCCGTCAACACTGGCAGGGAGGCGGTGTGTAAAGGTCAGAGTTTGAGCGGGAAATATTTTACAGTTTGCGTGAGTTTGATCAGGTATTATCTCCTTGTGTTGGAACTGGTCTGACACGAGGAGGGAGTTGTGCGACCCCAGGTGAGGACCGGCTGGTGGGGGCCCCCCCTTCCCCTTCTCTCATGTCTAACCGGGTGTTCCTCCCTCAGACCACGTGACCCCTCCCCCCACTAACCCCACTCTCATCCCCCCCCCCTCTAGTTGGTCTCTCTTTTTTCCTCCCCCGCCCCCCTCACTCCACCTCTCTCCGCCCCCCCCCCACTCCACCTCTCTCCGCCCCCCCCCACTCCACCTCTCTCCCCCCACTCCACCTCTCTCCCCCCACTCCACCTCTCTCCGCCCCCCACTCCACCTCTCTCCCCCCACTCCGCCTCCCCCCCCCCACTTCCCCACCTACCTTACCTATCGCCGGGGCTCAGCGACCCTGCGGCCCGGTCGTCGACCAGGCCTCCTCGTTGCTGGACTGGTCAACCAGGCTGTTTGACGCGGGTGCTCGCAGCCTGACGTATGAGTCACAGCCTGGTTGATCAAGTATCCTTTGGAGGTGCTTATCGAGTTCTCTCTTGAACACTGTGAGGGGTCGGAGGGTCCCACTCCTCCCCTCCCCACCCCACACCCACTGTTCTCCCCCCCCCCACCCTCCCCGCCCCCTCGTCTGTGACTGCTCCTCCCTCAGAGCGTGTGTGTGTGTGTGTGTAGATAACCTCCCCCTGCAGGCCCTTCACGGTGGACCGGGTGTATGTTAATTAAGAGCTATGTGTTCACATTTTTTTTGTTTTTAGTCTAGGGGGAGTGATTAATGTTTTTGGCGACTGCTCAGAATACTCTCCTGGCCCTGCTGGTGGCCAGCGCCCTCACTGTACGGTGTTACCAGGCCAGGTGCCCATAGTGTTAGTCCGGGGAGGCTTAGATACTTCAAGTATGTTTATCGAGACAAAGAAAGACATCTCAAAGGGATAGAGTAGCTTAGGCTATTTCTACCTCCCTACTTAGATACTTCCTTATCTACTGTAGCACCTTACCTGTGTGTGTATGGGAAGGGGGGGGGGTGATCCGTGTTTTGGTCAGCAAGGTGGACAGTCCGCCTGCTTTCATAACTCGCTGTATTTCCCACTTCTAAACTTCCCTTCACCTATGCCTCTCCTTCCTCTTTACTCCCCCCCCCCCCCAAAAAAAAAAAAGTGAGTCTTCACAGGCATTAATAAATTTTTCCTTAAAGCTCGTATGCTCTAATTAACTCTTCTGTTTTGTCATGCATTCTGAAGCCGATAATGTATGGTATTTAGACTAGTTCCATCATCGATAATTGTATTATAATCCCAGCATTATGCACCAGAATGTTAGATGGAACTTTCCCGCGCGCTGAGTGTCGAAGCGGTGCGGCGGGCGACCCCTGCTGCTCTCTCGGGTTTCGAAAGCTAATCATCCTCTTTAAAATTACCAGACTGATAAAATGTGTACCGAATTGTCAAGAAAAAGAATATGGCATTAGGGAAGCTCAGGTGTGACGAGCGGTGGCGCATACAATTAGTTCTTGTTCGGGTACTTGGCGGGAAGGGGCGGGCGGACGGACGGGGTGACCGCGCGCCACCTGAATGTTAGCGGAGCAGGAGGGAGGCAGAGCTGCTCACCCACCACGTATATATTATATAATACCTCCCGCGTCTCCTTTCCTAAGCATTTTGAAAGCGTTGAGACGGGCCCAAGACTTTAGATACTTTATCGTGTATGTGCATGCTGTATACGTTCTCTCTGCCTTGTGTTTCAGCAGTCTCTACTTCGGTAAAGGAGGAAGAGAGCATCGAACAGTATTAAAGTTATTTGACTGGTTCGAGTATTGCGATTGGATCCCTGGATTAGAAGGTTCTCGTAATTCATCTCTGCGTTTATCCAGTGGACGCTATGCCTGCTTGGTTATGCTCCCTGTACGTCAGATATTATTTTCAGAATCTACACGTTGCTTTCCTACTACGGGGAGATCGATTTGATTCTTATACCTTGTACAGTTTTTAGTTTGCCTTTATTTTTTCCATACCTAAGTATCTGAAATTTATCATTGTTGAACATCGCGTTATTTTCCGCTGCCTAATTGAAAACTTTATTAATATCAGTTTGCAATGTCTTCTACAGAAGTGATTTTCATGCTGCTTTTTTGTCATCTTCATTAAAGTTGAAATTTGTTAGATACTGTTAAAACTTTTTTTGTGCGGTAATTGTAGTAAATAGGATTTCTTGACGTTTGTAATCAACATTTTGAAGCGACTCGGGGAAAAATTAGTGCTAATTGAGTTTGTGCTACATATTTTATGTGAATATAAAGTATATATTTACATATTCGGTTAAAACATTGCAGTTTTGAAAGGAAAGACACGATATAGCATTTTGTACAATGTATGTTATGAGACGATACAAATTTCCCCAAATTATATAAACTATAAATATTGCAGTATTTCTCCTATGGTATAAATGACCATGCACTAATAAAAAAGTGAAAGCAAAGGTGCCACGGGGCGCTACCTACCCCTAACGAGTCTACCAAATCAACAGCGTATTTTTTCATGAAAAAGATTTGATATACACTGATGAAGAGTTGGGCGTGTTCAGTGTGTTGTTGATCTCGGTACAGTAGTGGCTTCAGTTTTGTGTTGGAATGACAGGTGTGTGTCTGGTCATATAAAAGGTTTGATTTGTAACAGTATCTTGTACACCGAAATGTTTTGCTAGACTTTATGTGGCGGGAAAGGGCGCTTTATGTGGCGGGAAAGGGCGCTTTATATGGCGGGAAAGGGTGAAGGAAGGCGGAGTGGTGGTGGTTCCCTTCAGAGTGGGGCGGTGCGTGGTCATGGATGATATTGATCCTCTGGTGCTGGACCTTCCCTGGCACTCAGGCCTCCCCACCACCAGTTGACTGGTCAGCTTCGGCACGGGTGCAGGTACGAGTATTAGCGGCAGGAGAGGAAGTGTCCAGTGTGTGTGTGGCGGCGCCACCCTGACGGGAGGTGGTGCAGGCTCTTCCCTGCTGCTCGCTCCACAAGGGAAGTTATCTACTTAAAAAAGTAACGCCTTTTTAATTGCCGTTACTATTTACTTTTAGCATTAAGCATGCAATAATATTGCGGGACAGCGCCAATTGAATTATCTTATTTGTCAAATATCGCTAATTACAATAGATTACTGTATTATTGCATGGTTACAACAGTGGTGTGTGTATTTAGCTTATAGACGTTACCTACGTTGTGGTAATTCCAGGGATCAACGTCTCCACGGCCCGGTCTCTGACCAGGTCTCCTGGTAGTTGATCTGGTCAACCAGGCTATTGGACGAGGCTGCTCTTAGCCTAACGTGACTCACAGCCCTGTAGATCAGGTATCCTTTGGGAGGTGTTTATCAAGTTCTCTGTTGAACGCTGTAAAGTTAGAACGATGACAAGACCACACTAGAATGTAAAGGGACGACGACGTTTCGGTCCGTCCTGGACCATTCTCAAGTCGATGAGAATGGTCCAGGACGAACCGAAACGTCGTCGTTCCTTTACATTCTAGTGTGGTCTTATCATACTTTAGCCACGTTATTGTGTCTCATCGCCTGCAAGTTAGAACGAAAATGGGAACATGGGTGCGCAGCGTCGTTCAGTGCTGCTCGTCGCTGTCCGTCTCCAGCCCATTGTCTAGTCTGGTCCTGCCCCGGCCAGCCGTCCCCAGTGCCGCACGCCGCCGCCTCCTGGCTGGCTCCAACACCCTGCTGCTTCATCCACTTGCATTACCCGGTACTTGCTGATGTTTGGATTCTGTTTTCACGAGAGTAGTATACCCGTCGAGGCGTCTTGTGTGATATTGCAAGAGTGCAATTAGAGAATAATGGTATTGAGGCCGTCAACAACTGGGGGACATCAAATATTGATTATTTACGGTGTCATTAGGGGAACTTTTACACGGCGTGGGGGATGATGAGTGTTTGACTAGTGCTGGACGTCACGTTATCAAGATGTAGGGGGTACTGCCATACAGTTTTTCACGCTGCATTACTCGGGCTAAACGTGGTTTGTGGTGTTATTACCGCCATGGTGGCGTCTGTCCTCTGGGGATTTCGGTGTTGCCATCATGACAATCTCGTGATATCTGTTCAGATTAACATTCTAATTCACAAGTGATTAAAATTAAGATGCTGAGCAACCTCAAAGACGTTTTATATTAACAATTTACCAAAATAGCGATTGTTATATCCACACACAATTAGTAAGTTATTTTTATAGTAATGTGTGTTAACATTGTTAATTTTTAGTTGAAGGATGTTGTGTTGGTAGGGAGTGGAGTAGGAGCAGCAGGTAGGCGTTGGCTGGCGTACGACGTGTCCACCACCACAACCCGACGCAAATATAAACTGGTGATTAATGATTTAGTTACGGGCTATTCATGCCCGTGCCACCTTTTGGGTGGCTTAATCTTTATAAATCAATCGACTGTTTAGTGGTGCGAGAGTTATAAAGGACGTGGCCTCCAGAAGGTGAACCAAGAGTGCGAATACAGTACTGGTTTAGTCTTACAATTAAAAAGTTATTTTGTACCTTCGGTTCATTTGCGTTTTTAATTACCATTATATCATGTTGCTGTGGTGTGCGTGTCAGCTAGTCTGACCCGGGGGCCTTGCTGCTCCTCCTGCCCTCTAATTTATTAT